ATTATGTACAAATGGGGTATCGATGGAAAAGGTTCTGTGGGAATGTCAGACCAGGTTGAGTTACCACAGTTTAAAGTCAAAGGACTTAAGCAATTACAGAAAATTGAATATTTAAGCACAGGTTTGTGAATAACACTTAAATGTGATAATAAATGCTCAATATTTAAGAATTTGGTTATAAATTACAGGCAATTATTCGCGATTAGTTTGTGAGATAGAGTTCGTGCGAAGTATGGGTTACTACTTAATACAGATCTATATTCCCGCCAGTCTTATAGTGATCATTAGTTGGGTGTCATTTTGGTTGCATAGGGTATGACCACCAAACTGTATGTCCATTGCTCTCATTGACATCTAATTGACAGAATGCATCGCCAGCTCGGGTCCAATTGGGAGTGACCACTGTCTTGACGATGACTACATTGATGTCATCGACAAACGCGGCTCTGCCTAAGATTTCTTATATAAAGAGTATTGACGTGTTTTTGGGCACCTGTTTCATCATGGTGTTCGCGGCACTACTAGAATACGCAACGGTTGGCTATATGGGCAAACGGATTGCTATGAGGAAAACCCGTTCACAACAATTGGCTAAAATCGCACACGAAAACAGACAAAAGAGCGCTTTGGAGACCAACTTAGAGCCCCGTTCCTCCATATATCCCATCCAATCGTCGCCATATAACCCGTGTATTCCGAGGCCCAGGAATATAAGCGGAGCTCCGGTTAGTCCTAACAATTTCATGAGTAATTGATTGAAACTTGAAATCTCTTTAAAAGGAAATGCGGTACAGAATGGTTGAGACAAAGACAATGGGCAGACCATCCATTGACTACAACCCTAAGAAAAAGGTGTCGATTGTGGCGACAGAGACTGAGGCCGAGGGCGAGGCGGGCACTCCGAGTACACCCCCACCGCTCGCTCCCATTCCGGGCGCCAGAAATCCAAACACTTTGTGTGGTGTCTGTCCGAGTGATATCGATAAGTATTCACGAATAGTATTTCCGGTTTGCTTTTTGTGCTTCAATCTCATGTATTGGGTTATATATATGCATATAAGCGAATTCCTCAGCGAAGAACTCGTCAAATGATCCGTTCAGACCATTCATCTGATCCGTTCAGACCATTCATCTGATCCGTTCAGACCATTCATCCAATACTACAAACAATCAATCAGTCATTGCATTACATTTCAAATGTTTACTCTATTGGTTAGAATCAATAAAAAGGGTTTTAAAATTTTCTTTATTTGTGTTTAATATTGAAATTAAATATATTTGAAACAAGTATTGAATTCAATGAAAGGTGAGGCCTAACAACAGGGTGCCGGTTGACCGGCCACCTCATCAAATACTATTTCATCTAACGATGTGATTGTCTGCAGGCCTTCCAACTCTTGATTGGAATACTGTTTATTTCCGGGCCGTAACACCACTACAGCTCTGAGTCCGGCACCGATGGCAGCCTTGGCACGGATGGGATCTTCCGTGAAGTACAGGAGGTTTTGTGGGTCTGTTTCCCGTAACTGAGACACAATGACCCGAAAATCTTGAGAGTTGTGACTATAATAGTTGAGATGATTATTCATATATTGGGCTAAATCTCCCTCTTTGGAGGCTCTGAGGAATTGTTTCTGTGCTTCCGGTGCTCCCAAAGCATACGAATAAATCTTAACGAACTGATGAGCTCTCCAATGGTTTAATGCATTCTTCACATCACTAAATGCATGCGTTTTGAGCTGTGATTTACTGTAGCCTTCATTCACAACCATTTGGTAGAGGAAATTCAACTGATACTGTGAGGTATTGTGTTTGTCATCCATTTGCCACAAGATATTGGTTTCCAGAGATTTTAGTACAACATCTTTAGGTTTATTTGATTCCTCAATGAGTGGTATGTCATGTCCAGCACTCCTATCAATCAGCGCCTGTTCTCTTAGTTTGTTAATTACATCAACGATCCGTTTATTTGTAAAATTATTGTTCAAACAATCGGAAACATTATGTCGTAAATATTGTTCATATTCTTGATAGTAATCTTTGGACGCAATCACCCCATAGATGTCTATTATTATATTATTTGGTCGATTTATATGCACCGCATTTGTCGATTTGTTTTTATCACTCATTATATCTCACTATTTGCAACCAATTTGTCAATTACTGTATTTGTATTTTTAATTTTAAATATTTTAAACTATAATTTATTATCTCGAGACTTATATTAATATTTCTATTTCTGTAAAATATGATTGCAAAAGAATTAACCTTTAATTTTGCATGCTTAAGTTATTTGTATAATGTTTCAATATTAATTTTTCTAAATAAACTAACACCAAAATTATGAATTTGTGTGCAATTAATCAATTAATTTTAATTGAATTTTATTTTATTGAAATACACTAAAATAGATTTACCAAGTGTCCAATACATACGTATATAGACAATTTAGGTGCAATAACCAATGTTTATGACCAATGATTGTTAACATTATACAAGTCTTTGACTTTAAAAGCAATTCTTACAAAAATTAATTCAAATAAACCTGAGAAACGAGTCATTAAATTATCAAAAGTTAAAGACTTATTTTAATAAATTGTTTGATTAAAAATGTTTTATTTATTTAAGTTTTACTTATTTATACTTCAGTTCAATGTTCTTTTACTACTTTTTTACTTTCAATTAAATTTTTATATCGTTTAAGGTTTAAGAGATGAATTAATTAGCAATCAATGTCTTGCAGTCAATGAATAAATTAAGATGTTCAAAATACAGTCAGAACTCGTTTGTCTAAATAAATTCAATTTTGGTTAACATTTCACTTTAATGTGAGATAATTTATTTGTATAAATAATATTATTTTCAAATAATATTTACAATTAATTAAAGAAAACATGTTATTGGTTATTGTTATTATATGAACAATAAGTTTCAATTGGTCATTTTATTCTATACAAACGACACATAACTGTATTGATAAAAATGACAGATATACAGCTTTAATATAATCTAATACTCATTAAACGACTCCTAGAATTTCAATGTCATTGATAAAAACTTCTGAGAATTAGATAAAACTTATTCCGAAAAATGTGAAAACTTTTGCTTTTAATATCACACAAACATCACTGTAGTTATAGTTTCTCTAGTATTTGTGGCATAATATTTGTTTAGAATTTGATATAAATTTCTAAACCATCTTTAGTTTTGCAAACAGTCAACACAATTGAAAACAACAATGATTTATAAAACAATTATTTATTTGTCATTTGTTGTCATTCTTTGTCACATCTATTCTACTAATGGATACTTATATCCAATTGAATATCGTCTACCATTAAAAGTAAGAATTATAAATCATATTAAATTATTTAAATTGTATTAAATTGCATAAAAATTAGGGTAACGTACCTGCACCGGGATCACCCTGGCCTTTGCCACAGGTGAGTTTAGAGTTAAGTATTTTGTTGAATACGGTTGTGAACTAATATTAAATTATTTAAATTGTATTAAATTGCATAAAAATTAGGGTAACGTACCTGCACCGGGATCACCCTGGCCTTTGCCACAGGTGAGTTTAGAGTTAAGTATTTTGTTGAATACGGTTGTGAACTAGGTAAATTTGTATTGCCTCAGCAATGGAACCGAACCAACGATGTCCTCACATTAGATCCGAAAGGGTTTCGCTTCGACACAGACATGACTTCATGCGATGTGTTGGTGAACGCAATGAAGAGATACAGAGACTTAATATTTATCGATCAAAGAAGTGTGAAGTCATCGCAACAAACTGTCTTAAAATCAGTGCTCATTGAAGTGAAAAACATAAATGAATGCAATTTCCCGAAACACAACGACGACGAGTCCTATACTATAAACATAACGATCAGCTCTTCAGCGAAGATCACATCCCAAACAGTTTGGGGCGCTCTCAGGGCTTTGGAGACATTCAGTCAATTAGTTTATCAAAACGATATAACAAAAGATATTTTAATCAATGCCACATATATTAATGACTTCCCGCGATATAAGTTCCGGGCCATGCATATGGACACAGCCAGACATTTCGTGCCCAAGAAAGTCATTTTAGCCAATTTGGATGCTATGGCTTATAACAAGTTCAATGTATTTCACTGGCATATCATCGATGACCAGTCCTTCCCATTTGAAAGGTTTGCGTATATTTTGAATTTAACTTTTATAAAATTAAAAGATTTTATTATTATTATAATATTATACTTATTTGACTTATAAAACCATTTATAACAGCAAACGATACCCTGAACTGACCAAAAAGGGCGCGTATTCACCGAAACACGTCTACACACAGAATGACGTGAACGATGTCATTGAGTACTCGAGAATGAGAGGAATCAGAGTTATACCAGAGATTGATTCACCCGGTATTCAATGTTTGATTTTCTAAAATATTTCTTTTAATTCATCAAATATGATCTTTAATCAAATTGAGAGGCAAAAGTCCATTTATATATTGACTAATTTATGAGCACTTACTTGTTAAAAATAGACTTTTAGTAAATATCCTTGGATCTGACTTATAAATAATAAGTTGTAAATTATTTTCATTAAAGGTATCATATCATATTCACAGAAAATATAATTAAATAAAAATAAGTTAATAATTTATAATACATTATAATTATGGAAACTTAGGTCACACTCACGCTATGGCCAGAGCATTTCCCGAACTCTTGACACCATGTTATGGCAAAAAGGATGTGCCCTATACTCCAGATTATCCCCGTTTCTCGGCCTCAGAGCTCTTAAATCCACTAAAAAATCAAACATTTGTTTTCTTGAAAGAACTTTTCAAAGAGTTTCGTCAAGTATTTAAAGACGATTTCGTTCACTTGGGTTTGTATTTGTATTCAATTATTGAACTCAACTTATTATCTATTATTTTACTATTAATTTCTTTTAATAATATTCTTTTGAAACTTTTCAGTAAATTAGTGCACTTTTTCTCTTAAATATTTTTATTGTCTTACTCTAAGAATTTTAAATTACCTCTACGTTATACTTAATACTGTATATACTTAATAGTGATTATAATTATTGGCATAAATAGTGCAAAAACAAACTTTTTCTGAATAATTTTATTCTCGTTTTGAATTTTAATTTAATGCATTTTATTGCTATTCAGTGCACAAACAACACATTACAATACTCTCACTAAATGTAAACAATATACTAATGGACAAATACAGTAGCAACAGTAATTTACGATAGCTTAACAAATATTATCTTATACTATAAATATAATATTATAAATCAGATAAAATAATTTGAGAAATATATAAGTTTATTAAAATTAGAAAATAATAGAGGACTATTTTATACTGTATTACCATAATTTTTTGAGAATATTGCATTACGGTAATATATTGTATAAAATACTAACATATCATTAATTTTAATATACACTTTTATATTTAATAATAATAATATTTTATATATGATTTTTCTGTCAGAAAAATAATGATACATTTATTTAAATGAGTTTAAGTAGTATTTAAGCACTAATAGCATTGATAAAATAGGCAACCAAATTACTGACAAAATGAGTCAAATAAATAGCATTTATTTTGGACACATTTATGATATGACAGGAATGGATGAAGTAAACTACGGCTGTTGGGAATCCAATCCAAATATAGCAAAGTTTATGAAAGACCAACACATGACTCAAGTGCATGAAGTGGAGGAATATTACGTGAAGAAGACATTGGAGAATGTTAAGGATGTCGGCTATAATACGATGCTCTGGCAGGACCCGGTCGATAACGGTGTCAAAGTAGGCATTTTATTATAGACATTCTCACGAAAACCAGCTTCTGTTGAGTAATCAGGGTCGTTCAATTCAAATTTATATTTTAAGTATATTTAAGACATACTTTCTATAAATTCAATAACTTATTCTATAAATAAATTTAGTTAGATTAAAATGAGAGCCATAGTAATTTTACTATTCATAAAATGAAAGCCATTAATAATTATTATTTGACTGACAGCTCGACAAAGAGTCAATTGTAGTGATATGGAAAGACACCAATCTTGACCCTGCTTTAGACCTGTGGCAAAATTATATCGCTAAAATTGCTAAAAATGGTAGGTTTCATCAAAAGTAAGCAAGTATACTTATGTTTAATTGATACAATATGTCTATTTAGGCTACCAAATGGTGTTGTCCGCTTGTTGGTATCTTAATTATATCCAAGAAGTGGAGGAATATTACGTGAAGAAGACATTGGAGAATGTTAAGGATGTCGGCTATAATACGATGCTCTGGCAGGACCCGGTCGATAACGGTGTCAAAGTAGGCATTTTATTATAGACATTCTCACTGAAAACCAGCTTCTGTTCAGTAATCAGGGTCGTTCAATTAAAATTTATATTTTAAGTATATTTAAGACATACTTTCTATAAATTCAATAACTTATTCTATAAATAAATTGAGTTAGATTAAAATTAGAGCCATAACTTATATTCATAAAATGAAAGCCATTAATAATTATTATTTGACTGACAGCTCGACAAAGAGTCAATTGTAGTGATATGGAAAGACACCAATCTTGACCCTGCTTTAGACCTGTGGCAAAATTATATTGCTAAAATTGCTAAAAATGGTAGGTTTCATCAAAAGTAAGCAAGTATACTTATGTTTAATTGATACAATATGTCTATTTAGGCTACCAAATGGTGTTGTCCGCTTGTTGGTATCTTAATTATATCCAAGCTAAAATTGCTAAAAATGGTAGGTTTCATCAAAAGTAAGCAAGTATACTTATGTTTAATTGATACAATATGTCTATTTAGGCTACCAAATGGTGTTGTCCGCTTGTTGGTATCTTAATTATATCCAAACTCCATATCCTGATAAAGATTGGGAAAAATATTATTTGTGTGATCCAAGACATTTTAATGGTAACATAAATAACATTATTATAAACTTATTAAATAGATTAGGCTTTTGAAATAACATTTAGTTTGATTTTGTTTTGATTTACTTTAACTTAAAGGCACTGAAAGTGAAAAAGATTTAGTGATTGGAGGGGAAGTGTGTATGTGGTCTGAGTTCGTTGACGGCACTAATATATTGTCCCGTTTATGGTATACATAAACTATATTTTGAATTAAACATACATTTTGAACAAACTATTAGTTAATTGTATTTTAACGACCAAAAGGCCGAGAGCTTCGAGTGCTGCCGAAAGGCTGTGGAGTAACAGCAATGACACGCAGGACGTGGACACCGCCCGACTCCGACTCGATCAGCACCGGTGCCGACTCCTCAGGAGAGGAATACCTGCCGCACCTATACTTAATGGATACTGTGGTGACTATGAATGGGAAATGAATAATCAAGAAAAGTTGATTGATTTGGGCGATAGGGTTAGACTTTGAATCTGATCATTATGTACTAATTGAAGTTGAATAAAGTTTTTGTGCATTCAATTTTGTTTTTAACATTGTCAAATTAATGTATATTAATCTACTTGTAATTTAAAAACTTTCATGAATATATGGTATAAAACAATTGCATCAATCTATATATTTTATACTGTAATGACATTAGATTGTACGAAAAAATACAGCAATTATTTGTTGTAAATTACAATTCATTAGTTTCATGGGATCTTCACACAAATAAATGACTATCGATATATTGACATTATGTGTGTCTAAATCTTTTCATTGTATTAGATTTTTAGCGAAACTTATACTATGTTTAAGATCATTAATACTGTAGAGATGGCAATCAGATAATATGCTAATGTTTTCACTCCATAATATTGTCACTTCAAGCAAATTAAGTGCATTTGATGTGATCCTCAGGAGAGGAATACCTGCCGCACCTATACTTAATGGATACTGTGGTGACTATGAATGGGAAATGAATAATCAAGAAAAGTTGATTGATTTGGGCGATAGGGTTAGACTTTGAATCTGATCATTGCTCCAATTATGTACTAATTGAAGTTGAATAAAGTTTTTGTGCATTCAATTTTGTTTTTAACATTGTCAAATTAAGGTCTATTAATCTACTTGTAATTTTAAAACTTTCATGAATATATGGTATAAAACAATTGCATCAATCTATATATTTGATACTGTAATGACTTTAGATTGTAGGAAAAAACACAGCAATTATTTGTTGTAAATTACAATTCATTAGTTTCATGGGATCTTCACACAAATAAATTACTATCGATATATTGACATTATGTGTGTCTAAATCTTTTCATTGTAGATTTTTAGCGAAACTTATACTATGTTTAAGATCATTAATACTGTAGAGATGGCAATCAGATAATATGCTAATGTTTTCACTCCATAATATTGTCACTTCAAGCAAATTAAGTGCATTTGATGTGACTATTAGTACACATTTCAATATAATTATTACCGAAATCTGGTTTATTTGTGATATTTATATTTACCTTAGAAAGAGTTCATAATTCCCAAACTTTGTGTAAATTTTATGTGAAATACTGGTCTGAAAACAGAGAAGCGTAACAAATAACTCACAAATACCTGTCGATCTCATACGATATGTCTTTCATAATCAGCTAATTTCAAAGTCAAGTTTAGAGCAGTTTTACTCTTTTGAGTATTCATTCACTTTTCAGTTGTGCTCCTTTTCGACACTTCAATACTTTTCAAACTACAGTATATTTTAGATATGTTTAGTAAGTATTAAGTATATATAGTTTTATGCTTATTCTGACCATTGGTTCAATACATAACTTAATGCATGAAAACTTTATTTTATGAATTTAGAAATAACAAAACGAAATCTAATTCGTGCCTCACTTTAATAAGTATTAAGTATATATAGTTTTATGCTTATTCTGACCATTGGTTCAATACATAACTTAATGCATCAAAACTTTATTTTATGAATTTAGAAATAACAAAACGAAATCTAATTCGTGCTTCACTTTACATATGCTTTTTCATCATATGTTTGCTATACTCTCCGGTGTTTGGCCTCTTCGGCACCAAGACTCACATCCACGTCCATAGAGACAGAGATAGGGATAGACTTAGAGACCGATTCTTTAGGAGCAGAGATCAAAGACTTTATGATGCGAGAGATGATGACAGGTGTTGCTGCAAATGCTGTCACGATGACAGACACCACAATCGTCAATCACTTTGGTGAATAGGATTACAATTAACATGATTTTGTGAATAACATTTTTATTATTTTCACGATTAATTACAAAACTATATATTTATGTGTTTCTAATATATCTGATTTCAGGCTTCAAAAGACTGTCTATTCTTATCCCAAAACTCAAATTAACATGATTTTGTGAATAACATTTTTATTATTTTCACGATTAATTACAAAACTATATATTTATTTGTTTCTAATATATCTGATTTCAGGCTTCAAAAGACTGTCTATTCTTATCCCAAAACTCATCCAACGGCTCATTCCATGATTTATCCACATTTTTGGTAATAATAATAACACACTTTTGGCTCACTTTTCAGTATTTATGACCATAATTCCAATATATTTATATATATTATAATATTTTGTAAATATAAATATAAGGAATTTACATTTCTATCAAGAATACCAATAAGTTCAAGTATGTTTCATTTGATATTTTTAAAAGTATTTGATTTTGTAAAGTTTAGTAAATAAATTAATAAAATGTTTAATAATTTAAAAATTAATGAATACCTGTATGTAAAATATCAGGAATTACTTGATATAACTAATTAATATAACTATAAATTAGATTTTATTAATAACTTGTTTTATATAATACTTACAAGCCTTGTGATTTTATCTGTTCACTTACATTCAAATTATTAATTTTGTTTAAACTGCAAAGCCAAATTATTTTTTAATTACTAATGAAAATTATTTAAATTACTTAACTTTGTTCACTTTTGAAAAATACCATTGTAATGAATGCAATATTATTTCTAATAATGTACTATATTGTCCGTAGTAATAACTTTTGTAATGTAAACAATACATAGTATAATTTTTAATAGATTTATATACATTTCATATAGTCTAATCTTTATATTAATCGATGTTAATAATTTTCAATAAATCAATTTTAATAAAATCATTTTAAATTATTTATTTGTTTTAAATATTTTCTTCAATTTATCAATATAGTGTATTGTATTATTCAAAGTTAAACAATAAGGATAATAGCAAAATATTATACAATATATCAGTCCAAAGTTTTATAAATAGAGTTTTTTTAAACAGGTTAATGAGCTTAATCACACGTGTATCTCATTATTTGCAATTTGATTGACATGACTGGTGCTGTCATTTATAAGTAATCAAAAATATTGTATATCACGTACAGTATTTGATGAGCTGTTGTAGTTATCATTACATTGAAATAAATGACAATTATTGATATTTAATACATTTTTAAATAAAGCAAATAATTAAAGAACGAAAATTAATAATTTATTATTTGATTTTCAGTATAAAATAAATTAACTTTTAAAATTTGATTAAATGTATTTGCTAAAAATAATTTATCATTCCAATTCATATTTTAAAGAGTATTTGAATTTATAATTTTGAAAAATAAATCTTTATTTTGAGAATACAAACAATAATATTAAAAGTGGTAATAGTTGGACTAATTTATCAAGTATATTAGATCTAGAAGTATTTTTTTGTGTGATATCACTGAGAAAGACACAAATTTTTAAAAATTTACATCTAATTTAAAAATTATAGATCGAATTGATAAAATTATTATTTTTGTTTGTAAAGTAATTTTATATTTAATCAAAATAATAATTAAATTTATATACTTTAAGGAACTTTAAGCTCTAAACCTCTCAAAATTAATCATTAATTTGATTGTTCTATAAATTGAATAAAATTTTTCAATATAGAAATTTGAACCTAAATTATACAGAAATAAATAGTGAAATGTTTTTCGGTGTAAATTTATTTATTTTTAAAATTTATCAACAGACTGTTAAATGCAACATAAGTAAGTTAGCATAAATTTAAATAATTAATTTAACAAACATTGTCTACCGGTAATTGACATTTACAATTTTAATTAAATATAAAATATATAATTTGCAGAAAAGATAAAAGAGTTGAAAATAGTTGACAAGAATTCGATGGTTTAGACGATTGATATATAGGGCAGAGAAGTGATTGCAATACTTCCTCAATGTCTGAGCCGTTGATTATATTGGAAGTGGAAGTGAATGAATGGAGTGAATAGACAGTAGTGTTCCGTCGGGTAAACCAATTCTCAATTCATTATCTAATATATAACTTAATGCTTAGTGAACTTATACTAGTATTAAGAGTAAACAATTGTTAAACACACAGAAAATTAATTAAAAATACTAATAATATGTCATTAAGTCATTGATTGAACTAAACTTCCTTAAAGTGTATTACAAAACATGTGTATAATTTGGTTGACAATCAGGAAATCTATGGCATCCCTAATAGTTATGAGCGCTAAGAGCAGTATATATTGTCGCCAATCACTTGTGTCAAGACATTCAGAGGTACTCAACGCTAAACTTATGGTTAATTATTAACTATTATTAGATGTAATGAAAAGTAAAAGAGCTTTTGAAGGCCAGTAAATGTTTGTGACCTACTCTACAAACTATAGGATACATACGGTATGACTGAAATGCAAGTGAGAGCCACTAAATCTAGTGGCGGAGACTTTACACACCTATAGACCTGTTATGATAAGCCTCAGGCATACCCTTACTATACCTTTCAATGCTTGAAACTCTTATATAATACTCATTTCAAGCAATACTTAACTTTAGTTAACTTGTGATTGGAATCGCATTTAAGACAAATCATTGAAAAATGTTTTTAATATTACAATTGATTGGTTTAAGTGGTGTAGTGTTGGGACAGTTCTATAGCGGGCACCCGATGTCTGCCAGTCCCGGTGGACACTCGCCCTTCAGTTCCGGTCAGTTATTACTACTTCTATATAAGAGTTCAAACTTTTAAAAGTGATAATATTATAGACTTTGAAATCAAATCACAGATTCCGGTGACAGCGAAACGCTTCCCATAAGTCAAGAAGAGTTGGCACAACTCATGGCTCAGTCATTGGCGAGCAGTTCGCCGCCACCAATACCAGCTGTGTTGGTCTTACTTCCGTTGCTACTAAAGCCGCGATTAAAACTACCGCTCCTGCCGCGTCTTCTCCTTGTAGGCCGGGGTGTAGTTGGGCTTCTCGTTCTCCCTGTCATCGGCCAACAGGACAACAACGAGGGCTCACATTATCAACAACCGGAAGGACAGGAAGGACCGGAAGAACAACACGAACCACAACAACCAAACAGTGGCGGATATGAGAACTCTGCCCCCGGCTATCAACAAGAAGGGGAACAGTACCAAAGCGGACAATACCCCGATTCGCACAGTAGTTCCTATGGTGAGGAAAATGAAGGCCGACATCAAGAACCACAACCCGGTGCTTACGGAGGCAATAGAAACATTCAATACAAACACAATTCTGATGCCGAGTCTTATGCACCACAAAGAGGCCGACTAAGAGGACATCAAACGGAAGCGGGAAATAAAGAATACGCCGATGCGGTCGGTTCCATGAATCCTCACTATCAAGACAATCAGGGCTCCAGTTATTCTGGTCCGGGATCTGGGTATTCAAACCCTGGAAGTGAATCTTACAGATCCTATGACTTTAGGAGTTCTCCGAGAAGTAAAAGTTACAGGAATTGAGAATTTCATAAAAAGTAAT